CAATGTAACGTTAGTAAATTTTAAAACAATTAAATTAACATGGGAATAATGAACCCATGAATTATTTAGCTATGAATTAACAATTGTTAGGCAATTAAACTTTACATGTTCCGACACTTTAAAACCAAGAGGCGTATGCCCTAATTACTTTGAGTTTCGTTGCTCAGATAATTAACTCGTCGTCCCCTTGTGGGATGCAATTTTTCGTTATTTTGAAGCCCCACACTGGCTTTTGCCAGGGGCCGCAATATAGCCATAAATATTGCCTAATGGCTAAACGCGGTTTCTTGGACCACTCCACTGGTGATCCTGATCCACATGGTGGCATTTTGTGTCATCGGGTGTTTGTCGCTTGTGTGATGTCCTAGTGGGGTAAAATGTACTACTACTACTACGTTACTCATTTGTGAATGTATTATAGGTGAACACCCCCCCCCCCCCCCCTTTCCACCCTGTTTCGCACACACACACACACACACACAAATGGTTCTGAGAGTGAAACTCACTCTGTTACAGATGCCTTTTTACAGACCAAGAGGTACAAGATATAGTGCTAGAGCAAGAAACTGAATCAACTAGATCGATTATGTCAATATTATACCACACTAATATGAATCTAAGCTAGTTTCAGACGATGCTTTTGAATTTTTAATGAAAAACATCACACTTACATTACGCTGCTTATTTTCATGAAGTAGTGGTACATTAATTGTTAAAAACATCAATCACCTTTTCACTATTAAAGTTAAAATGGACGTTGTGGTGACCAAGCCTTCGTCAGTAAATATCAACAAAATGCAATTCGCAACACAAAGAAGGAAATAACGCTGTAGTAATGAGAGAGTAATGGAAACCTTTTACGCTTTTTTATGTCCAAGTGTTCAGACACATGACAATCATTTTGATGATGTGGTCGGTATCTCTCTGCCTGCCTTTACTTCCCATGACATTATTTGCTATTATTTTTTTTAAATGGGCACTTCCCTTTCATAACTCATTCCTTAAGATCCAGTCAACTTCCTTAGACGAAATAAACAGATCATTATATTCACATTACGTAGTGGACACAACAGACTCTGCAGCCGGATGTGTACAAGACTGGAGATTGAGAGCTTTGCCCAGGTGGACAGGCACTACAGAATACTGAACATGTGGACAGGCACTACAGAATACTGAAGATGTGGACAGGCACTACAGAATACTAAAGATGTGGACAGGCACTACAGAATACTAAACATGTGGACAGGCACTACAGAATACTAAACATGTGGACAGGCACTACAGAATACAGAACATATGGACAGGCACTACAGAATACTAAACATGTGGACAGGCACTACAGAATACTAGACATGTGAACAGGCACTACAGAATACTAAACATGTGGGCAGGCACTACAGAATACTAAACATGTGGACAGGCACTACAGAATACAGAACATATGGACAGGCACTACAGAATACTAAACATGTGGACAGGCACTACAGAATACTAAACATGTGGAAAGGCACTACAGAATACTAAACATGTGGACAGGCACTACAGAATACTAAACAGGTGGACAGACACGAGAGAATACTAAACATGTGGACAGGCACTACAGAATACTAAACATGTGGACAGGCACCAGAGAATACTAAACATGTGGACAGGCACTACAGAATACTAAACAGGTGGACAGACACGAGAGAATACTAAACATGTGGACAGGCACTACAGAATACTAAACATGTGGACAGGCACCAGAGAATACTAAACATGTGGACAGGCACCAGAGAATACTAAACATGTGGACAGGCACTACAGAATACTAAACATGTGGACAGGCACCACAGAATACTAAACATGTGCTACAGACATGTTCTCTACATGCAGTGGAGAAATCCCAGGTTTGGCCGGTTGGCATTCCAGTGGAAGCCCAGCCGTATGGAACAGTCAAAGAATTCCGTGGCATCACAGACTTCATACAGGCCAGTTCCCTTCTCGTCTAACAACAGATGGTAAAGAGAAGGACAAAAGCAGAAGATGAAGAAGAATGGCTCCAGGTAGGAAGCAGAGTCAATTTTTTTTTTTTTAACATCTATCAACATCTATGGAGATTCTAACCCAGGATCGATATGCGAGGGTCAAGCCACTATGCCACTCAGTCAGTCAGCCAGTCAATCAGTCAGTCAGTCAGTCAGTCAGTCAGTCAGTCAGTCAGTCAGTAGCATGTCCTTTGCAGAACCTTGCTCCCATAACAACCCTTCGGAAAACGCCTTGATCACAAGCAAGATGTCCCGCGTCCGATACACACATATGGAGATCATCCGCCAAATCCTGCACTCATCCTTTCTTTGGCGTTCATATTCCTATGCCACTATGTCTCTATAAAAACTGATTTTTAAATATTTCTTGGAACGGTCGCTGCCACATGATTTCCTCTTCTTCTTCAGCATTCTGAGCCCTTCAGGTTCATTGCTGCTGATATCACCCGCCTCCATTCATCTCTCTAGTTCTCTCTCCATATCCTTCTTGGTCTGCCTCGTGGTCTATGACCATTCATCACTCTGGTTGACCTTCTCTTTCCAGTTGGTGACACCAAATGTTAGCAGGTCTGTCTGAACATTAGCTCTCCATGTTCTTCTTGGTCTGCCTCGTGGTCTATGACCAGTCATCTCACCACCTGATTTACCTTTTTTTTTTTAATTTATGGTGATATCTTAATGAATCAAATGACGGTCATGAGGTCAGAATGGAATCAAATCAGCCAGCAGCTAAAGCGTACTAAATGAGAAGAGCAGGCTTCAACAGTCCTGTGAATAGTTCTAGCCACGTGAAGGCTTGGGTTATTTGTTTAACAGACTAGCAGTGTATTGTATTATGTGGGTGTGTGTTACAGCAGTGACAATGTGCTGAATTATAAACTATTTGCTGAAGAATTATATCATTGTTAATTGTGTGAGTGAGTGTGTGTGTGTATGTGTGTTTGTGTGTGTGTGTTTAAAATAATTTAATAGTTTGTTGAATTATAATGCTGTATGTTGAATAATCTGATAATCCAATTAATTAATGAGGCTGCTTTTTGAACAATGTATGGCAATTTACTGAATTATGGAGCTGTTTATGGAATTAAATTATGTTTATGAAATTATTCGACATTTATTTTATAATTATATGGCTTTTTTCAACAAGTGGCAGTTTGTTCAATTGTATGTCTATTTGTTGAACTGTGGAGTAATTTGTAGGATTATATGGCTATATGTTGAATAGTGTTTTTCTTCTTCTTAAAGTCCATGCCGTGTGGCGTTAGTGCCACGTCTATCCACAACCTTCTGTCTCGTGTACTTTCAATCAACTCTGACATAGATGATCTTCTATACGATGACGTCAAACTTTCCAGCATCTGTTCTCTCGGTCTCCCTCTGCCTCTCCTCCCCTCCAGTTTTCCTACCGTCTCGATATACCCGTTTTCTCCTTCTCATTACTTGGCCAATGAATGCAGATTGTCTGTTTCTGATGTCTTCAGTCAGTTCTCTTCGCGAGCCAGTTTCTTTCAAGACGTCTTCATTATCTTGGTGTTGTACTTCCACTTTTTTCGTTGTCTACCACTTTCTCTCTTGCCTTCAATTGTTCCCTCTAGTTTTTTTTTTTTAAAAGAGTGTCGTATCATTCAATGTGCACGAAATGTTACAGTTGTGTTGAACAGATACCTATTAGACTTAAATGGTTTGGGTATATTGAAAGAATGTCAGATGACAGAGAAGTAAACACTTTATACACGAGGAAGATGAATGGTTGTAGACCACGAGGCAGACCAAGAAGACGATGGAGAGATAATTTCCAGACAGACCTGCAAACTCTTGGTCTCACTAACTGGAATGAGAAGGCCAACCAGAGAGACGAGTGGGGGCGGGTGATATCTGCAGCAATGAACCTCAAGGGCCCGGAATGCTTTATTCCAACATGCGCGTCTCGCTGCATGTTTGAATGTTACAACGGGAATTTCCTCAGTGCAAGATACCAACACTGGTAGACATAACGAATGAACTAAACAGTTCAACATAAAATGGTCCGTCAAGATGAAGCTGCATCAAGGGCATACCCATGTCTTTGTTGCTACTCGCTCAAGGGAACTAGGTAATTAGCGATCTAAGCAAGGACGGTAACTTACAATGTCATTTAATTGGTCATCATTATCATCAGCATTATCATTTGAGTTGTTTAAGCAAACTGTATTCAGGTCATCAAACATCAGCTCCTTTACTAGCCGCCTTTACAGAACACCGCTCTCGTCACGGCACGGCTGAACTGAAAGTCTTTCTTTCTCTAGCCAGTACTCCAGCCCTATGTGCTTTCATAGCCAATATTATTATATATGACATGTGGCTGATGTCTCAGCTAGTTATTGTGTCTGTACGCAGATAATTATCACATGCTATCATTCTTCGCATATGCTTATGCCATCCATCAATCATGCAGCAGGTCTTTTGCAGAACGTCGCTCTCATCACGGTCTGCATGAAAGAAACTCGGTCTCTCGCCAGCTCTTCCGCCTCACGCACTTTCATACTCAAGGAGTCACTGATATACTGTGCCCATCTTCGTGTCGGTCGGCCCCTGCCCCTCCTTCTTGGTACCATGCCTTCTGCTAACGAATTTCCCAATCCGTCGTGGCGCTTGATATGACCAAAATATTTCAGCTTCCGAGACAGGATGCTGTTTATTAGCCAATCTTCCTTGATGTTAAGATCTTTCAAGATGTCAGTATTTCTCCTCTTCTGTGGCCAAGATGTTCTGAGAATCTTTCTATAGCATTTCAGCTCAAAAGCCCCTATATGCTTATTCACCAGAAAGATAAGAACAACAAGGATTCTAATCACTAAGAATAAGCAACAGAATCAAACCTACTCCACTTGAATAAAGAGTTACATATAGGATTTTACACCACACATGATTTCTCCTAGAGTATCATGATTGGTTTTCTCATGTCCTACCACTATGTATGGAATTAAGTTTGAA